ATTTCTAATTCTGTTGATTTGCATCCTCTTCCTTTTTTTCTTGATGAGTCTGGCTCATGGTTTGTCAATTTTGTTTATCTTCTCAAAGAACCAGCTTTTAGTTTTATTGACCTTTGCTATTGTTTTCTTCATTTCTATTTCATGTATTTCTGCTCTGATCTTTATGATTTTTTTTCCTTCTACTGGCTTTGGGTTTTCTTTGTTCTTCTTTCTCTAGTGTAGGGTTAGATTGTTTATTTGCGATTTTTCTTGTTTCTTGAGGTGAGATTGAATTGCTATAAACTTCCCTCTTAGAACTGCTTTTGCTGCATACCACAGGTTTTGGGTTGTCATGTTTTCATTGCCATTTGTTTCTATGTATTTTTTTAATTTCTTCTTTGATTTTTCCAGTGATCTCTTGGTTATTTAGTAGCACACCGTTTAGCCTCCATGTATTTGTGTTTTTTACATTTTTTTTTCCTGTAACTGATTTCCAATCTCATAGCATTGTGGTCAGAAAAGGTGCTTGATACAACTTCAATTTTCTTAAATTTTCTGAGGCTTGATTTGTGACCCAAGATGTGATCTATCCTGGAGAATGTTCCATGTGCACTTGAGAAGAATGTGTGTTCTGCCAGTTTTGGGTGGAATGTTCTATAAATATCAATTAAATCTGTCTGGTCTATTGTGTCATTTAAAGCTTGTGTTTCCTTATTTATTTTCTGTTTGCATGATCTTCCCATTGGTGTAGGTGGGGTGTTAAAAGTCCCTACTATTATTGTGTTACTGTCAATTTCTCCTTTCACGGTTGTTAGCATTTGCCACATGTATTGAGGTTCTCCTAACATTTATAATTGTTATATCTTCTTCTTGGATTGATCGTTTGATCGTTATGTAATGTCCCTCCTTATCTCTTGTAACAGTCTTTTTTTTTTTTGTGGTACGCGGGCCTCTCACTGTTGTGGCCTCTCCCGTTGCGGAGCACAGGCTCCAGACGCGCGGGCTCAGCGGCCATGGCTCACGGGCCCAGCCGCTCCACGGCATGTGGGGTCTTCCCGGACCGGGGCACGAACCCGTGACCCCTGCGTGGGCAGGCGGGCTCTCAACCACTGCGCCACCAGGGAAGCCCTAACGGTCTTTATTTTAGAGTCTGTTTTATCTGATATGAGTACTGCTACTCCAGGTTTCTTTTGATTTCCATTTGCATGGAATATCTTTTTCCATCCCTTCACTTTCAGTCTGTATGTGTCCCTAGGTCTGAAGTGGGTCCCTTGTAGGCAGCATATATATGGGTCTTGTTTTTTTATCCATTCGGCCAGTCTGTGTCTTTCGGTTGGGGCATTTAATCCATTTACATTCAAGGTGATTATTGATATGTATGTTCCTATTACCATTTTCTTAATTGTTTTGGGTTTGTTTTTGTGGGTCTTTTTCTTCTCTTGTGTTTCTCACCTAGAGAAGTTTCTTTAGCATTTATTGTAAAGCTGGTTTGTTGGTGCTGAATTCTCTTAGTTTCTGCTTGTCTGAAAAGCTTTTGATTTCTCCATCGAATCTGAATGAGATCCTTGCTGGGTAAAGTAATCTTGGTTGTAGGTTTTTCTCTCTCATCACTTTATGTATACCCTGCCACTCCCTTCTGGCCTGCAGAGTTTCTGCTGAAAAATCAGCTGATAACCTTATGGGGATTCCTTTGTATGTTATTTTTTGTTTTTCTCCTTGCTGCTTTTAATATTTTTCTTTGGATTTAATTTGTGTTACTTTGATTAATATGTGTCTTGGTGTGTTTTTCCTAGGGTATATCCTGTATGGGACTCTCTGTGCTTCCTGGACTTGGGTGACTACTTCCTTTCCCATGTTAGGGAAGTTTTCAGCTATAATCTCTTCACATATTTTCTGAGACCCCTTCTTTTTCTCTTCTTTTCCTGAGGGCCGTATGATTCGAATGTTGGTGTGTTTAGTGTTGTCCCAGAGGTCTCTGAAGTTGTCTTCAATCCTTTTCAATCTTTTTTCTTTATTTTGCTCCTTGGCTGTTAGTTCCACCATTTTGTCCTCCAGCTCACTTATTCGTTCTTCTGCCTCAGTTATTCTGTTATTGATTCCTTCTCGTGTATTTTTCATTTCAGTTATTGTGTTGTTCATCTCTGTTTGTTTGTACTTTAGTTCTTCTAGATCTTTGTTAAACATTTTTGTATTTTCTAAATCTGTGCCTCCATTCTACTTCCTAGATTCTGGATCATCTTTACTGTCATTACTCTGAATTCTTTTTCAGGTAGATTGCCTATTTCCTCTTCGTTTATTTGGTCTTATAGGTTTTTACCTCGCTCCTTCATCTGTGACATATTTTTTTGCCGTCTCACTTTTTTTTTCTTTTTCAATGAGTGGAGTTGTGTTCCTGTCTTACTGGTTGTTTGGCCTGAGGCTTCCAACACTGGAGTTTGTAGGCTGTTGGGTAGATCTGGGTTTTGGTGCTGAGATGAGGACCTCCGTGAGACCTCACTCCAATGAATATTCCCTGGGGTCTGAGGTTCTCTGTTAGTCCAGTGGTTTGGACTCGAAGCTCCCACTGCAGGAGCTTCAGCCCAACCCCCGGCTCATGAACCAAGATTCCGCAAGCTGTGTGGGGTGGTTAGAAAAAGAAACAAAGTAAAAAATAAAATTAGACTAGGCAACTAATAGATATGTTAGAAAGAATATGAAAATAAAAATATAGATGAATCAACAACCGGAAGGTACAACAGTACCACAATAGTAAAAAAGAGGAGGAGGGAAAGGAAAATTTAAAAAGGGGGAAAGGGCCTTGGCTGTGGAGAGCGGGGGGCCGAAGCAAGGGTGAGGTTTGGGCGGTGGGCGGGGCCAATGCTCAGGACCCACTGGGCTGGAAAAGGCCCTGGGGGCTGAGGGGGGGTGGGGCTTAGGCTCAACAGAACAGCAGGGGCCCAGGCGTGCCCCCCACCCCTGGTCTCAGAGGGCGGGGGACCTCACCTGGGGGCCCAGCAGGCTCCCTGGCCCGAGGGGGCAGGGCAGTCGCCCTCTGCTCCTCTCCCATTCCTCCGGAGGGCCCCTCCCGCCTGCCTCTCCTGATCTCCCCGGCCTCAGGGACGCCAATCTGGCTCTGTATCTTCAGGGCAAATTTATTAAGGTCCTCTTCCAACTGAAATACATTCTTCTAGGGCTGGGAAGAAAGAGTCCATTCTGTTCATTTTCTCAGACCTCTTCTTTATGGTGGGTCGTGGGTATCTATAGAACTCTTAAAGAGTCTTCAAGGACAAAAATATTCAGATTTGATCTTGCCCTGATCTGTGACCCATTCTTATCAGCAAGTGCCTTTTTATTCTAGCGTTTTTGACTGAGCTCAGTATTTGAAAGGTGACCGGCTGGTTTACAACGCCTCTCACATTCCAGCAACCCATCTACAGAGACGTTCCGAGCTAACTGTTCTTCTTCTATTAAGATCAGATGTGACAGTTCCTGTAGTAATCTAGCGTGTTCACTGAAGATAACTTTGCAGGATGGCTTCACATGATATTTACCATTTGGTGTAGCCTAAAAGAAAATTCTCAGGAATAAATAAATGCAGTGAGAGTCTTCCCATCTTAAGTGGGATTGGAAGGCCTATCGGGAGGGCCAGGGTAGAGATCCTGAAGACTTAATAAGAGGTCTCTGGACCATGTAGGAGGGATTGCTTTCCCACTGTCTTTGTTCTGAACATACAAATGAGAAATACCAGAGAAATTTCGGAGTAAGAAATACTAAGAACTAAATAAAGTTCACTCTTTAATGCTTGAAATTGATGGTTTGAAAGGTAAAATCACTTTACAGTAAATTTTGGAATTTCAACTTATTTTTATTTGCTGTCTTGAATTGACAAGATTATTCAGGGAAAATGGCTCCACTGCACAGATAGCCAACTACGCCTGGGACATTGTCCTAATTTTATGCAGTCATTCTTGCAGAAACCCAAATGCCTCCCTGAAAACAGAGGTGCAGAATCTCTATCAGAGATAGAATCTAGACAATGGATATGGGCCAGGATGCAGGATTATATTTCTTATGCTGTAAGCTTGTTAGAGCTGCCTGATTCTGTTGTAATTTTTGAGGTTATTGGTAAGGCTCTGCCCATCCACTGGAGGGGAGGCCTCTGGAAAGGCATCTTTCTTTACCACCAGTAAACAAGGCAAGAGGGGGTGACCGTAGCTCTGAGAATTCAAGACAAGTTTATTAAGATGCCTCTGGGCTTGAGGCTCTCATCTAAGGAGTGTGGCAGTTGGGAGGTGAAGGTAGGGGTAGGGGAGAGCATCATTGGACAGTTAGTGCAAATACAGTTGTCAAGGCAAGGAGAGAGGGTGTTGTTTAGTATTGAAATCATGTATTCCAGATGTGGGCATTTGGTAGTCAGTCTGCTCTGAAGTGACGTGCTGCTGAATCTTTAAAGGGCTTCAGCCAGGGAGAGCAAAATCTGATTGGGCAAATTGCTAAAATATTTAAAGTGCAGCCTGTTAATAAAGCTTTTACTGCGAAGAGCATCACGTCAGAAGTTGTAGTCAGAAAGAGCGAGTAATTGGCTTTCCATCCTCGTGCCAGTCGGTCAGCATGAGGCTCTATTCCTGTTCCTTCCTCTTCATTGCCAATGCTAATCACAACACTTGAGGGTGTGTGCATGTGTGTGTGTCTCATGGAGAGATTGGATAGCTGGTAAAATGAGAATAGAAGGAGTGAGACATCCATAAGAAGGCAGACTGAATCCACAAAATGATGTGAAGTCCATTTTAGAAAAAGGGGAACGGGAGAGAAAGGCAGAATTACTACCTGACAAAGGTCACCTGCGTGCCCAGGAGGTGGTGGTGGTGGTGGTTTGAGGTAGTTATCTTTCAAAGGATGGGTTCTGCAAGCAAAAGAGTGGCCTTCAGTGACAGCCACTTCCTCTGCATCTTTCATCTCCTCTGAGATGTAACGCAAGGGGCACTTTCCATTTATAATTTATCACATTTTCCACTTCGGTTTCCCTGTCCTTTTCTCCCCAGGCATGACCCCTTGTTAATTCCCGGCAATGACCAGATTGACAACATGGACTCCAACGTGAAGAAGTATGACTCTACTGGGATGTTTCACTGGTGTGCACCCAAGGAGATAGAGAAAGTCATCCTGGTGAGTGACAGATTGCAGAATTGGTGCCATCCGCTTCTGTCCCAAATTATGTTTACTAGGAATGAGATTTTCCTAACTGGATGGTGGGGTGATAGTCCCTGCGCCTGATTATTTTTGATACTTAATATTCAGGACATGTATTGAAACAGCTAGAAGTCTCATCAGAACATGACCTGCGAGTGGAATTTTCAATCCCTGAATGTGTATTGGCTCATTACCATAGGGTGTGAAATGCATCATGGGAGACAGTATGTACCATAACTCCTGTGGACATGGCTCTGGGGCCAGAGCCTGCCTGTGCCACTAGCTGTGTGGCCTTGGACGAGTCCCTTGAGCTCTTTACACTATATCGGTTATGTGTAAGAAGATGGGACGAGAATGACCTTAACTCATAGATAGGACTGTAGTGAAGATTAAAACCCATAACGTTTTAATAAGTTTATAGGACTCCATAAACTTACCTATTATTATTATTATTATATATTAAATGCCATGAAGAAATCTGAATGCTACCTGTATTGTCGTTTGTTTATAGCAGTGTCTTGTATCCTTCTAGATAATGGATTTGCGTATTTGTGATCCTTCTTAGCACACGATATAGGCAGGCAAATCACATTTGCTGCTGATGACAAGGGTGACCATGGTCCACCTCGGGAAGGCTGGGGCTCAGAGCCCCATTTCCTGGTTGACTCCTCTCAGTAGCAGCAGTGGGCTTCTTCTGGTCTGTCCCAAGAATGTCAGCACTGATAACCATCCATTCTACTCTTTAGACTTGTCCGATTAACAGCTTTAGGCTTTAATGCCTTCATCTCCTACCATTTATTGTCTTGCTAATCCATGAAAAATGGATTAATAATCAGGAAGTTCAGATGGAAAGGTTCTTTCTCCCTTGTGCTTTCTAATCCCCGGATTGCTGTGGCCTGCTCCTTTATGTCAACCAGGAAAATCCTATCATTTCTGATGTCATGGCCACCCTTCCTAAGAAAGGACTGTTCCAGTTCCTCAGAATGGCTTTGTGCTCTAATCCACTAGATTTTTCCCTGTGTTTTATCTGAATGTGTGTGTGATTTCTCAATTTAATTATAATCGAGCATTAAGAACCAATACAGCTTTGTGCTGGAGGCTGTCTGGGAGGTGTGAAAGTTACAGACAAAAGCACAGAAAGTCAGAATTCTTGGGAAACAGCCCCCGTCCAAGGAGTGCAAATGGTTTTCATCACAAAGCTGCTCCGTGTATTTACCTTCTGATGTTGTATCTGCCCCACTTTTGCTCTAGGGATATAAACTCATCCTGGTGTTACCCACCTGGGGACAGGTCAAAGGCTTGGTTGGCATTGCGGGATCCAAGGTTTTAATGGCTTGCCTAGATAATCCTGAGGAGTGCATGGCTGACTGACATTCAGAGCCGCCTGCCAGCACCAAAGGGTTCAGTGAGGCCAGTTACTACTCCCCTCACCTGAAAAATAACATCATTTCACAGAACATTTATAACAAACCTATTACATGTTGGGCACTGTTCTTGTTGCTGGGGGTACAACAACTCCTGACTGGTCTCATAGAGCTTCTGTTCTAGTGGGGGCAAAGACCAGATCTCCAGGTAGGCAATGAATATGTAATAACATCTGAGAAATTGATAAAGTGCTATGAAGAAAATAAAGTGAGGTCATAGGCTAGAAAGGGACTGGGAGGTGCTGTGTAGACAGTGTGGCCCCAAAAGCCCTCTCTCTAAAGTAACCCTGCACAGAGATGAGAATGCCTGGAAGAGCCAGCAACATGAGGATGCTTTCTGGGCACAGGATGCTGTCTGCTTTGGGGGTTAGAGAACATGAGATGGCCGTAATTTTGAGGAAATGACCATCTCATTAAAAGATATAAATGTACCATGAAACAATATATTCAAAGCTAAGCGTTACAAGGCACAGAGTGCTGTTTGAGTCTAGTATGTGTTTAAGTGGCTGGGGAAGTCTTATTGGATACAAACAGTTGATCTTGGAAGGGGGTTTATGGCTATTAAGGCCCCATTTGGACTCGGCCTTGAAGAACGTGTAGGAAACTCAAGGTACGCACATAAGTAGTTTCTCTATTGCGTCTTAAACCTGGCAGAATCAGTCTCCCCAAGGCTGAGTCCCAGGAGTTGGGATCTTTACCAGGTTCTCCAGGTGATATTGCTGTGGCTGGTCTAAGGATTGGTGTTTTGGTCCCCAGATCTAATTTCCTGTGGTCAGCACCTGTGCCTTGGCCACTCTGCTAATTGATGCCTTCCCTACCTTCCTATTCTAGATTTCCAGGCCCCATTCGGGACCCGCTTGGTATTACTCAGGCTTGCTGAAGGGAGCTAGCCTCCCAGATGACCGGTCAATTAAAATTAATCAGGGGTCCCATCACAGCACATTACAAAACTGGTTGACCCTCTGCTGGTGGTACCTAGGCACACGCACTTCCGTGCAGCCAAGATAACTAGCTCCAGGCATCATCCATGAAGCAGTGATGTGGGGTGTGACTCCCTAGTGGGTCCTCCTTGGTCACCATTTATAAGACATTTTTTATGGCCTCCGTCTGAGATGTCCCTGTACTGTTGCGGAGAGAAACCAATAATGGTGACAGCCCCTGCGTTAGTCTAACGATCAGGGAGTGAACGCTTGCTTCTTGCTCTCCTTGGGGGTTGCTGTAATAACCCTGACATTATCGTGAATTGCAATATTGGCATTTAAACAATCAATACACTGGTCAATTCTAGGGATTAAATCGAGCAGAGTTTGATATGTGCAGGGGACATTAATATGCCTCCCCAAAAGCATCGTAAGCCACACGGGGCCATCCAGACATGCAGTGGGTGGAAAGGGAGGAAGAAAGCCAAGATGGGAGGCACCAGACCAGAAAGAGGCAGAGAAAGGCCCACCACTGGCCTCCTGTGTTACTTTCTGCGTGAACACAGTGAGCAGTGGGGCCAGCAGGAGCTAATCATGTGCATTTCCTGGGAAGCGCTAACTGGGGTGATTTATTCCTTCATTTGTCTCCTTTGTAAATACAGGCCTAAAGTTGGGGGAAGACGTGGGATTGTTGCCCTTGCTGTTCTGATCCTTTTAGTGGCTGTTTGGGAGTCTTCCTCTGATGACTTAACACAGGTGGCCACTCCAGTCATGTCCCTGGAAACCCCAAGGCAGCAGTAGACATTGGTCAGCAAACTCTCTCTGGAAACGGTCACATAATAAATAATTTAGGCTTTGCTGGCCATACGGTCTCTGTCACAACTAATCACCTCTGCTTTTGTAATGTAAAAGCAGCCACAGACAATACCTAAATGAGTAAGATTGGCCGTGTTGCAATAAAATTTAGTGGAATTTGAACTTAATATAAGTTTCACATATTATAAAATGTGCTTCTTTTGATTTTTTTTCAACCCATTTTCAAACCTAAAAACCAATCTAAGCTCACTGGCCATAAAAAAGCAGGCGGTGGACCAGATTTGGCCCATGGGCCAGAGTTTGCCAGCCCCTGGCTCAGGATATCGTGTTCTACCTACTGATGCAGTGATGGCCTATGAGATCCCATTGATGAGTCTAGAATTTGGAACTCATTTCGAAATAAGCCGAGGCCAGCATGGGTCTGACTGTTTTATCATCATCTCAGCAACAGAAGCACACAAGACAGCTCATTTTATCAACAATTTCCTGGAAACCAAGACTTCCTTTTCCAAATGACATAGATATTGCTATTCCCTCTTATTTTCGCCCTGAAAGTTCTGCTCTTATGTATGGATGGCATAATCTTCCTTAAATCTTTTCTCAGAGAAGGTAGTGATATGTGTGAATATATGTTTGCACGTATTTATTCCACCAATGTAATTTATACACACATACTCTAATTATAAATATATATGGCATGTATATAACATGAAGAAATTTAAAAAATAATAGCACATAGTAAGCACTCAGCAATTGTTTACTTGGTATTTTACGCAAGTGATTTTTTTCAGTCCTTTTCACAACCCCATGAGGTCTTCTCTCCAATGCCTGTGCCCTTCTCCCTCCGGCAGACTCGAAGTGAAGCCGCCATGACCGTCCTGAGTGGCCACGTGGTGGTCTGCATCTTTGGTGATGTCAGTTCAGCCCTGATTGGCCTCCGGAACCTGGTGATGCCACTCCGTGCCAGCAACTTTCACTACCACGAGCTCAAGCACATTGTGTTTGTGGGTTCCATTGAGTACCTCAAGCGGGAATGGGAGACTCTTCATAACTTCCCCAAAGTGTCCATATTGCCTGTAAGTCCGAGGTCACATTAGCAATGCTTTTTTCTTCTTTTCATTCACAAAAGAAAAATCCCAGATGGATAGAGTGGTTGTAGCTTTGATCATGCCTCTGCTTCTTCATCTGGTTATGCACCTGAGGACTCAGCCCTTCCCCTCTGCTCTGTCTAGGAATATCCAAACCCTGGGAGACCTCATTAAAAGGGATTTGCAGCCAAGTTCAGTCACTCACCAGGCATGGAGTTTAGCTGGTATCAAACGTATTAACCATGTCAGTGTCTACACAGTCTCTCTCTTGCCTACCCAAACCCAGCGCTTTGCAATATTATAGTACTTAGAGCAGAATTTACATAAGGAACTATTTATATCACTTTATTTATGACATTATGAATGCTTGGAGAAATCTTATTTTACCATGTTCTATTTTTAACTAAATGCATTTAACAGAGTTCTTTATTTCTGTTGTACAAAAGGCCAGCCCCTTTTGCTGGCCGACCCCTCCCTCCCTCCCAGTCATTTAGAAGCCCAGTAATGTTTTCATGAGATTGTGTGTTGTGTATACACGTGTGCACATGTGTGCATGTGATGTTCTTGATTACAAAACACTAGGACCCAAATCTAAAAGGAACAATTTGGGACTCCACAGTTGCATGAGGGGGCGTGGGATAGAGTCACATAACTAACTACTTCCGAATCGTTAATCAATAGAGTTTCCATAAACTTTCAAATAATTGTAGAGCACTGTGTATTTCAACCTTTGATATAGTTCTCCAGGTCGCTAATCTATGCAAGTATCACTTATACTCCAAACATCTTTCTTGGAAGTTCACATCCCTAAAACTGAGGAACACAGATTTTTTTTTTTTTTTTTTAACATCTTTATTGGGGTATAATTGCTTTACAATGGTGTGTTAGTTTCTGCTTTATAACAGAGTGAATCAGTTATACATATACATATGTTCCCATATCTCTTCCCTCTTTGTCTCCCTCCCTCCCACCCTCCCTATCCCACCCCTCCAGACAGCCACAAAGAACCGAGCCGGTTTCCCTGTGCCATGCGGCTGCTTCCCACTGGCTATCTACCTTACGTTTGTTAGTATATATATGTCCATGTCTCTCTCTCGCCCTAACACACCTCACCCTTCCCCCTCCCCATATCCTCAAGTCTGTTCTCCAGTAGGTCTCTGTCTTTATTCCTGTTTTACCCCTAGGTTCTTCATAACATTTTTTTTTCTTAAATTCCATATATATGTGTTAGCATACGGTATTTGTCCTTCTCTTTCTGACTTACTTCACTCTGTATGACAGACTCTAGATCTATCCACCTCATTACAAATAGCTCAATTTCGTTTCTTTTTATGGCTGAGTAATATTCCATTGTATATATGTGCCACATCTTCTTTATCCATTCATCCGACGACGGGCACTTAGGTTGTTTCCATCTCCGGGCTATTGTAAATAGAGCTGCAATGAACATTTTGGTACATGACTCTTTCTGAATTCTGGTTTCCTCAGGGTATATACCTAGTAGTGGGATTGCTGGGTCATATGGTAGTTCTATTTGTAGTTTTTTAAGGAACCTCCATACTGTTCTCCATAGTGGCTGAACCAATTCACATTCCCACCAGCAGTGCAAGAGTGTTCCCTTTTCTCCACACCCTCTCCAGCATTTATTGTTTCTAGATTTTTTGATGATGGCCATTCTGACTGGTGTGAGATGATATCTCATTGTAGTTTTGATTTGCATTTCTCTAATGATTAATGATGTTGAGCATTCTTTCATGTGTTTGTTGGCAGTCTGTATATCTTCTTTGGAGAAATGTCTATTTAGGTCTTCTGCCCATTTTTGGATTGGGTTGTTTATTTTTTTGTTATTGAGCTGCATGAGCTGCCTGTAAATTTTAGAGATTAATCCTTTGTCAGTTGATTCATTTGCAAATATTTTCTCCCATTCTGAGGGTTGTCTTTTGGTCTTGTTTATGGTTTCCTTTGCTGTGCAAAAGCTTTGAAGTTTCATTAGGTCCCATTTGTTTATTTTTGTTTTTATCTCCATTACTCTAGGAGATGGGTCAAGAAGGATCTTGCTGTGATTTATGTCATAGAGTGTTCTGCCTATGTTTTCCTCTAAGAGTTTGATAGTTTCTGGCCTTACATTTAGGTCTTTAATCCATTTTGAGCTTATTTTTGTGTATGGTGTTAGGGAGTGATCTAATCTCATACTTTTACATGTACCTGTCCAGTTTTCCCAGCACCACTTATTGAAGAGGCTGTCCTTTCTCCACTGTACATTCCTGCCTCCTTTATCAAAGATAAGGTGACCATATGTGCGTGGGTTTATCTCTGGGCTTTCTATCCTATTCCATTGATCTATCTTTTTGTTTTTGTGCCAGTACCATACTGTCTTGATTACTGTAGCTTTGTAGTATAGTCTGAAGTCAGGGAGCCTGATTCCTCCAGCTCCATTTTTTGTTCTCAAGATTGCTTTGGCTATTCGGGGTCTTTTGTGTTTCCAGACAAATTGTGAAATTTTTGGTTCTAGTTCTGTGAAAAATGCCAGTGGTAGTTTGATAGGGATTGCACTGAATCTATAGATTGCTTTGGGTAGTAGAGTCATTTTCACAATGTTGATTCTTCCAGTCCAAGAGCATGGTATATCTCTCCATCTATTTGTATCATCTTTAATTTCTCTCATCAGTGTCTTATAATTTTCACATGCCTAAAACTGAGGAACACAGATTTTATTCTATATTTTAAGAAGTCTGGATTTTTTTTCCCGCTTACAGAGCTGAAAGTTTTTATTTCTGTTATCAGCTTCTAGAACCTTGGAAATGGAAAAAGAAGAGTCAAGTAATATAATTCATAATTAAGGAAGACATAAGAATCGATCCACAAGTAATGCCCATTCATAGCTATCAATACCACGTGTCCTAACGTATGCCTGGCGCAGTGGACACTCAATAAATATATAAAGAATTGAGAAGAATATAGACAGATGTCTTTTGGCTGCTGGGCCCCAAATTCACTGACTTAGTGAACACATGTGGTTAAACATAGTCACCTGCAGAAAAATAGTCATATACATAAAAGACCATAAACAGATATATACCTAATTTCAGAAACATGATAGTTGTGATTACGTATTTCCATGATTGTTTTCCTACATGTGCTCTTCCACATGGTCCTTGGGAACAATGGACTAGGGTCTAAAAGTATTTTTGTAAAGAGCTTATTAGTTTTCTGGGATACAGGAGTCTATGTATGTGTGTATGTGTATAGTGTTGGGTGTGTGGGTGTGGGTGTGATGTTTTCTGTGTGTATTTGTTGTGTATGTTTCCTTCTGTATGCTCTTGTACACATCCACTCATCTGCCTGCATCTATATGAATGAGTTCTCCTATCTGCAGGGCCTTTTCAAACCCTCCAAAACTTATCACACTTGAACACAACATATTGGTACAGAATGGGCCTTCACCTATGTCTCCACATATTTCATTGTTTAAACAGGGCCCCAGATATAGGACCAGCCCAGAGAAACACAAGGTGTTTCTATGTATGTCATTTGGATTTCTTGAGTTTTGAAATCATGCGTGTACAGCTGTGCAGGGATTTTCTTATATCACAATTACTGGTGGATTCCCCACAAGGTGAAAATTAAAGGAATATGGATGTAGGCAACTGAGGCTTATACACTGGTGAAATGATTCAGGGAGTTGGTCAGACTTATTTTGTACCAAAAGACCCCAGTAAAAAGGGGGAGACTTCTCCTTCTCTCAAAAGGTCCTGCTCCGGAGCTTGGAATTAGTAGCTTCCCAGCCTCGTAGCACTAAATGCCTCTTCCTCCGTAATTCCACTTTGCAGTTACATTTTGGAGGCTGGGAATAGTATCATGACTGCCATCGAGTCATAAAAGAGGGCTGAGGGCCTTGATCTCTGCAGCCAAGTCCAATCTTCTCAAAGCCCCCTTTCCAGGAAGGGGAACGGGAGGAAGACATCCAGAGACGTAGGCAGTTGACAGACCCTCTCCCTACA